TATATATATATATATCAATGCGAAACGCTTCATAAATTGCATTCTTTTCGCAGTCGAATCACAATAATCCATTTTGGCGTCGGGTTGTATTGGTATCCATCAACCGTTCAAGTCTCCATTTACTCAGAAACTTTCGCGCCGCTTCGAATAAAGCTTGAGAATAGGCTACCAACGAGTTCGGTACAACTTCTCTGTTGAAATCGGGTTTCTGTGACGATAAAACCCGTCAGGTGTATGCAAAAGAAGAAGCGCTATTGTTGTAGATAACCTGATTGAACTGCAGGCGCTATGGGCCTTCTAGATGATGTCAAGGAGATTTTCGGTGCTGACACGCTTTATGAGGTGCTGGGTGTTAAAAAGTCCGTCCGATCTGATCTATTAAAAAAGGCCTACCGCCAAAAAAGCCTGCTCTGTCATCCAGATAAAGCTAATGAAGAAAATAAAGAAGAGTTTACGAAAAAGTTTCAGATTCTCTGCAAGTGTTATGAAATTTTATGCGACGAAGAAAAGCGCAAGGTATGCAAGAGCGAATTGAATGTTTTTGTTAAATCAATATTGTGGTTATGCAGGTAATTCTTCCAGTACGTAAGCGATCATTTTAACTACTAGAAATAATATAGAATGTAAAAATAACCTACGCAGAAAGAAGGCGAAGTCGAAGTTGACGATAAGATACTGTGACAAAAAATCTATGAGAAATCTATTACTAGAACCTGAGTGAACATGGTGAATATGAGTGAACCTTACTGGCCGCTTTTTTGTGCTTTGTATGAAAACATCAGCACTAAAAGGTTTGAGCCTTTCAAAAAAAACATATGTTACAGCGATTTTTGGTTGATAAAAAATAGCACCAAAAAGCGGTAATTTTTTTTAACCAGATCATTTATTCAAATACCCATTTACCTTGCATAAAGACGATAAGTTGAAGGAGTTTTCGTATGGCTTGCCATATGAATTGAAGAGGCCCGTCACTTTCTTTGTTTTAACGTTTATTTGAGTAATTTAGTTTTATTTCAATTAAACAAAGATAGATCAAATACGGATATCTTATCGGTCTCACTAACAGCCGTAACGTCAAAAAAAACCCTGTCAGATGCAGCATTGAAATACCATGTTTGCACATTTTGTATCCATACTGTGAATATTGTAAAAAGGGTTATTTTGTACTTCAAAAATATCGCAATTGCATGCTTCAATTGATCGACTTTTATGAGTGTTTGTGATAAGTCGTAGGGAAGAGCGTTCATTCTTCTTACTATCTTTTAACAATGTTACATTTTGCTTTTCGCTTAGATCTACGATGAGACAGGATCCGTGGACGACGATTCATTTGACGAGAAAAAAGACTGGAAATCCTTCTGGCGAACACTGTTTCCGACGGTGACCGACAGCCAAATACAGGACTTCTTTGATAAATACCACGGCAGTGAGCAAGAGCGCGAAGACCTCAAGCGTGCGTATGAAAAAACCAAAGGCGACATGAACAAAATTGCAGAATGTTTCATTGGATACGATGTCGATGATGAAGATCGGTGCGTACATTTGCATTAAATGCAAGGAGTAACACATCTGTGTTGATCCCCTGTTTAAAAATTATGCATATTTTTATGCAAATATAGGCATCCGCGATCGTGGCAACACCAGTCGCTTCAGTCTTGCTAAAACTGCTCTGTAAAAATCGGTATATGGGGAGCGCGGGAAATTTAAAATTCGATTTAAGCCCAGTGCCAGGAGAGTAGTGACCGGTAATGCCGTGACTGCGGAAGCCCATGTCCATTCAAATGATAATTTTGAATTTCTATGCAGGGAAAATGGCATCTGCCTGGTATCTTAGGTATTGCAGCTTCGAGTGCAACTTTCTAAGCCCATTTTGCACACTGAAATTTGCTAGTACCGTGATCCTTGATAGGAGGAAGCATGATGGTTTCTCACATACAATTCAATTAAATAGGCTAATGTTTTGGGATGTAATTATTTCGGGACAGTATCTACAGAATGATTGGGAATGTGTTGTTGAAAACAATATTGACAATACTACGTACTTAAACTAATAGCATCAAATATAGCTTATTTAACGTCGTTTTATTCAATTAATGTTTGTATAAGAGACAAAATATATAGAAATACTTAACAGAAAGCTATTTACTGAGTGATATTATAATACGTCTTTCAGTCTTTGCAGCCTTCTCCAAAAAATGATCGATGATGAAGAGATTCCTGAATATAGGGCTTTCACCAAGGAAACTGCTTCAAGTAAAGCCAAACGGCAAAAGAAGTTTGCCCGTGAGGCAAAAGAAGCGGAAAAAGTTAAGAACGAGATGAGCAGTCTGGAATTAATACTAAAAAGACGCGCTCCTGAGGGAGATGATTTCTTGGCGGCGCTTGAGGCCAAATATTCCAAACCTAAAAAGAAATTGGCTAGATCAAAAAAGTGAAGCGGCGGCTTTGAAAAAGATTGTTAAATCGTTTTCACCGATTTTTTCTAGTGATATGAAAATGGTAACGTTGAAGATACCTAAACATACATGTTTAAAGAAATGCAACTATATTTTCATAACACGGAAAAAAATTGTCTAGTTTGCGAACTCCAAAATTAAATAGCTTTTTTCAAAAATAATAATTATCAGTTAAAACTGAAGGATTGGTGTATATAAAAAAGCTACAAAAAGAACTGTAAAGACCCAGATAATTTCGAATATATATGCCAACTAGAATCATTAAAATCAGCGATTCTAATAACTGTAGTCCCGAAAGATTATTGAGCCATATCTTACAGTTGACGAAGTAAGATTAGACCATTACAAACTAAATATAATGTATTGCGAAATTGTATAGGTCAAAATCGGACAGAAAAAGACCTTTGTTGCTTTCCCGCAGCATCGTTAGTGTAAAAGATCTAAAAACGAAGACGAAAAATGGCCAACTTTTATTAACTTGTATATTATTCTAATAAATTAAGTCTTCGTCGTAAAATGCCATCCTGCGTTTATTTTTGTGTCCTTTTCATTGAACCGTTGACTGACATTGTTGAAAGGTGTATATGTCATCTGTTCCATATCGCTAAATATTTGATCGTTTCAGTTCCAGCTGTCAAGACAATTTTCGCTGATTGTAGCACACTTATGCTACGGTTTTTTCCAGTCCAAAAGCACGTCATATTCTCGGTAAAAAAGCGGTCAACGATTTTGCTTTTACTTTTTCTATCGTGTCGAAACGCTTCCTTTTCAGGCTTTTCGTCAGTTTCTGTGGGGAATAGGAACGAGCCGCAGGAGGCTCTGAATCGGGGTGAGTCGGGTAAGTTTAGGGTCCGGACAGCATACACAAAATGTTGTATAAGTGGTTAAAGGTGAGCCGGTGCATTATTGTGACAGAGAACCTTTGACTTGTTGCACCACAGTACCGGTTTCTTACACCAGGTGTACTCGCCAAGTTTTTTATTTTTTGGTTGTATTCCTTGGTGACTGTGCAGCTCGACGGCTGAGTTGATAACGAACGATTTTTTGACAGTTGGAAAAGCCGTGCGAAGCACCTCAGTTCTCGTTCGTGACTGCTGTCACAGAATCATCCTCGCTAAACTTCTAAACGTGTTCGACACACTTAAATTTAATGTTTACTTGTGCCTAGTGTCATTCTGCATCCGCAGTATTGATTTTATTTTTTGCATAAAACTTAATGGATGCTCGTTGCTCCTTTTGGCAAGACAAACGTAAATGATAAGCGGTCATTCAGTGGCGCAAAATTCAAACGAGCCATTAATTTTAACAACGGTAGTTGAGTAACTGCTGTCATTCTGGCTACACGAAAAACAGTGAATACGTTTATGTTTTTATTTATATAACACAACAAATACAAATGCTTGTCTGTAGTTTACAATGAGTATACACAAGGATGTATAATATAAATGTACAGATACAAACGAGCTCGTAATGGGCGTACTCGCGAGAATATCGCTCATCTTATTGTCACTCGTCTTCGATAGTTTCCACTGTATCTAATTATCGGTGTTATGTCTCTTGTTCACTTTTGGAAACGTCCTGAAGATTTTTCGGCCTAAGCGGTTAACTACTCGTTGACAATGCGTACCTCAAACTGTCTCCAGGAACTGGTGGCTTGGGCCAGCTCCTCTTCAAGCGTCTGAATTCTGCTGCGTTTCGTATTAATATCGCTGTGCAGGAGACTTATTGTCCTTTTTAGAGATTCTGCAATTGGCGTCCGTTAACATCAAAAATCTATAATGAATATATACAATGACAATGTATTAATTACTGTAAGATAGAAACAAATATAGCTTTTGGAAGAGCGCAAAATTCTTAGGGACTGTATTGTAGGCTAAACAATTTCTCAGCGTAAAAGTTGCTACGAATGAAGCTGCCAACTTATTGAATGCTTATGATTTTCGATAAATAGAAGGCATTTAGATATCAAACATAAATGCAGAAGGCTATCCCACCAATTTCTTCGTGTGCTCGTCGCAATTGCAGCTTCAGATTGCTGTTTTCCGTTCTGGTGTCAACTTCCTCTAGATCGTCTACAATGTCCTCCACAATATCATCAGTCAGAATTAGCTTGACTGCTGTAAGACATTCACATATACATTTACATATAAACAGAAGTAAAATACATCTGGCTATATTATTAGAGCATAGCTGTGAAATAATTACAACCAAGTTAGAAGTCCTGGAAATCAATTCGTGGAAATCTCAATTAAGCGTAAACTTTGATGAAAAGTATATCCCATTAATATAAAGAAGGACTGAAAGACGTTGATGGTTAGTTTAGAATTAGTCATCTATATTCCGAGCTGATAATCAATTTAAATACACAGTGCTGCTGGATCTAGGAACTTGTTATTCTTGGTGTCAGAAGCAGTTGTTAGGACAATCCAATCTAGATGCACAAAACACTAGAAAAAGAGTTTATGATGCCACATATAACTCTTTGCGCGTATCTTAAACAGTACAAATCGACTAAATGATAAAAGAGTACTAAATTCCGCTAGTTCTCAATTACTGTCTGTTCCATCACATTGTCCGTCTTCGGCTATACTTATCTTCTAAATTAAAAGTTCCTTTGTAAAAACGTTGTAACTTACGATTGGATCCGTGGATGGTGCGAACGGAAATATGTTTAACGACGGTACCATCTCCGTCATCTTGTCGCACCTCAGCAACTCTGGTTGGCATTGAACCGGGCTTCAGCCGACCGCGGTCATCAATACATTCCTCCTCGAAATGTTCCTGTTACAAGTAGGCCCGTAATAGGATTAGCAGTATTTTTTATGAAAAACGATACTGGGGGCCTTATTTATCAATTAATGATAATACTATTTTGCCAGTGTTACCATCTGTCGGATCATGTGTTAAAACAAACAATTCTGCACATTCAACAAAGCTTTCCAGGTCATTCCAATTGCCTCGCTTGCGACACAGAAACACACGATGCGACGGTAATCATTGTCAATTCATTGCTGTGTTTAGATTAAAACAGTGACGCCCCATCTGTGAACTACATGAAAACTACGGGTTGTGCAAACTGGGAAAAACTCTGGCGGGCTATTTATCGTAACGGGCATGCATTCATCTGGTATTCCTTCTACTAAATAAAAGCCAGTTTCCTCTAGAACAAAACACTCATTTCATAATGCAAATAACAATGCGTCGTTTTTGGAATCCAAACGAAGGTAAATTATTATCTAATTTTTAACTGCAGGACAGACCCCCCGCTGAGATGAAAACCTTTGTTATTAATCGAATGACATGATTTTTAATACGCTAGGACTTTTGGTACAGAAATTCATGGCCGTCTTATTAATACAAATTAAGTTGTCCAAATAAGCCCCTATGATAAGTTTTTGGCTGTTTTTAGCCCTCGCTATATTTTGTATTTTTGGAGTGTTGTAAGCTCAAAATTAAACTCCAGAATGTAGTGTGTAACCTATTGATACTATTAAAATGTTATTTACAGATCGAAGGAGGAATATTCTAAAAATGATTAGTCTTCCCTAGTTCCGAATTCACGGCAAAATCACGGTGAGTGAAAGTTATATTGAATAAACATGACCGTGAGGAATGACACTTCTAGCATACGTAACTAAATTTGTTGAAATATTTGTTCTTTTAAATGCAGTCATAGGCACAAAATAAAAATACTCAATTTATGCGCGCCACCCTGAACATTTCGTTAAACTAAAGGATGCTCTTTAAAACTGTATTGAATTCTTCCATAACTACTTACGTCACATATCCAGCCCTTGGTGAGATCGGCACCAGCTTCGATACCAATGGAACGAAATGCTTGCCGTCCTTTAAACAGAAGTGCTTCGTTTTCGGTTCGTGAACATCGAGGTACACTACAGCGACGAACATCTCCTTGAGCATCTCCTGGTCCATCCAAAAATCTCGTAGGTACGGCTTCGGGGCATAAGCCACCCTTTCGCGTAAAGCAGGATTCTTCAAAGTGGAGCTATAAGACGAGAAAGAAAAAATAAAACCATCATTAAGAAGTCTAACGAAAAAATACAGTGATACGCTTTTACCTTTCATTCTCGTATGTGATCTGGTTGTCAAAGCATTATTATGAGCTAGAGCTTCCTAAATAAATGGTTCTAAACGCTTCAGTGTGCTTAATTATCGATTTTGAATGGTTCATATTCAGTCAGTAATTTCATATAGATATATATTTAGTAAACCTGTAATCCGTCCCGATCTTTCGGATATGTTTTGCGAAGACCCTTTTTCCCAGAAGCACTTATCGAATGGTGCGCGCTCTTATCACTTTTTTAACAAATCTAACGCAAATTTTTTTCCGCCATCCTTCCAGAACACAGCACTCATACTCTTAATATATTGGCATATATACGTGGCATATATTTTTAAGTCGTCTAACGAGATTGAGACGTAAACCAGGAGATTTGAGTACTTCTTCTTGCCTAGAGGAAGATTTTTCGTCCAGCAAATTTAGCACAGAAGAAGAACGGAGCAAGGCTGGAAGTATACGGTAGACGGAACAGAATACCTTGGCCAAAGTTCGAAAACTTTTTAGATGCATCATTCACTGGCGTTTGGAATAACTGTTTCTTTTTCTTTAAAGCAAAATCAATCAAAGAATACTGAAACAAATTATTGATTTTCCTAACCTTTTGCGTAGTATACGACATCTATCACAATAAATCCTGCGACCTATAGCGCAAATTGTTCTACCATCAGAAAGATATATTCTGATAGCAGATTAAAAAATTATTCATATTTTTGGCTACATATTGTTGCTATGATTGCAAATATTTTTCTTCCTTTTGTTACTAACTAACCTATATTGGCATTTAGATATGTACTCACCGAGCAAATGTACGAATTCTTTGTTATAGTGCTCCTTCCAAGAATTTTGCCGATTTTCGCGAAGTTGTCTCCGCAACGATGGAGCCGTACTCCATCATCCGTTGTCCGGAGACAAGACGGTACGATACATTTTTTCTTACGGAAGTTTGCCGACTGCACGGACTACACGAATTGCATAGTGGCAAAAAATAGAGTGGAAATGGAAAGCACTTCTTAAATAAGCACTAACGGTCATATGAAGAATGTGCACGTTTTTCATGGATTTTATAATTTCCCTTGTATTCAAGAGAAATTGTGGACGTCCATAAAATTCAGTTCCCTTGTATTCAATAGGATAAAGGCTGATGTAATTCCTTTTTGTTTAATGTTCGAATGCAGAATGAACCCCAAGAACCACGATCTGGGTATATCCATTTTTCAGTCCGAGTTATAAAGTAAATATAAGTAAAAGTAATAAAGTTGTTATTAAGGATGAGTTATAAAGGAGCGCTGGCCATTTGAAATTTATTGTAAAAAAACTTGTGGATGAACAATTTTTTACGTATCCGTCGTACTTTAAAAATGTATAACATTCTTCAAAACAGACAGTGTAATGATGTAACATAAAGATGTAAATGCTGAAGAATTATATAAAGAGGGTGAAACGAAAACGGGCTTCTATGATTGTAATAACAAGCATATTCGCTGTTAATGCTGCGCAGCAGTTAACCTGAATTATTTCATGGATGGATATCGTATATATAAAATAAGCCAACTCACCATTCTGCACGATTAGGTCGAATTAGTCATTAGTGAACAAATCCGACCAGCAGATACATCATGAAAACCCTTTTTTCTTCATCACCTGTGTAAGCATTTGTGCACATTAGACGACAACAATCACAAATAAACGAGGAAAAATGGCGTTATATCGGCCTTCGTCCTTTCCCACAGAAGAGTTTTTGGCTGTGCACCAGAAGTCACATAAAGCTTTATACGTTTTTAAAATGTCAGCACGAGAAATGCGGCACTATAATAAGTGATCTGAAAACATCCTACGTCATTTGGCTAAAAAGGAGCAAATCATATGTTACCTCAGACGTACCTCTATTTAAGCACAACAGCTTTTGTTTAGTATATCGACACATTTTCCTCTCCACGTCCTTCCCTTTCTAAGTGAATAGACGCATTGTCCTATTATAAGCCTTTTTAGGTATCTATGTGGCGATCAACCAATAGGAAAACGTCCGCGTCCGATTCAACGAAACGTGTCGGGCAACCAGAAGCTACTAGATTTCAACAATTTATGTATTACCGAGTTCACCATTACGAACGGAATCAATTTTTGCTAAAACAAAATCCATTTATGTGTAAGTGTTTTTCAATCAAGCAGTTTTTTCCGCTGTAATACAATGCGAACTCTACTGTTGTCTTAAACTGTTTTTTCTTGTGTATCGTGCACTATATCTTATGCATGAGTATATATTTTTATCTTAGTGTATATTCTTATTCTGCCCATTTTACCCTAACAGTTTCTCAATCAAATCTTAATTTGTTTTCGCCCCTTAGTAATTGTGTTTCCCCGGCGCACTTCTTCGGCGTCAACGCCATATTAGCTTCTGACAAGCAGACGAAACTTCCGTACGTAGCCTTCTCCACTTTTCTGGTTTTCCTCTATGGCGGCTCCTGTATCTAATTAAGAGAGCAGACATTCAGCTGATTTTATCTCTGTTCGCAATACCTCTCTCCCGTATTTCACCTGCATCTCGCTGTCGGGCCAGTGACTTGGAATATCTGCTGACGTTGAAGCGTGTAGAGGATAGTGCTGCCATTGACGCCAGTTACTTATCGCAATGGAGGTGAGTTTTCATACATCATCCAGTATTTGCTAGCATTATTGAAGTCAGCCGTAAATATTGCACGACAAAGTCGAACTGACCAGCTGAAGTAAGTCTAGAAGAGTGCGGCATCTTAGTTTTGTTCGAGAATACGTATCAGCCGGCTTCGCGCTGTGATGATGTCAGTTAGTGCTGCTGCCAACCGTAGCCATCGTCGATCCGGCGTTTCGTGCTAGACTACACGAAAAGATCGACTATATTTATTTTTAGGTACTATAGAGATTATGATACGACTCGTCTTCGCTAAGTGGCAGTCACACGGATGTGAAGGCACTTGAGGCCATTGCGGGCACAGGTAGCTTTGAAAGGTTGGCATTGTCGAATGATAAAACACAAAAAAACGTGATTGTCTTTAAATTGAGCTTGAAAAATATGTCGCCCGTTACGAAATTTATATTTAACATTTGCGATGTAGCACATTTTTGCGAGGTGACGTAACGAGGCGTAACTGGCGTAGGTTATAAGTGCTTAATTAAGAAGCAGTGTATTTACGTAGAAGATATATCGCTATGATTAGTAATCTAGCGTTTTTTTTAATAAGGATCTTAGCTGTACGGTGTGGAACGCTCTTACGTTTTGACTGAGAGAACTTTCGTTTTTCTCAGACATTTAGTTTGTATGGAATAGGTAGATGTTATTGTAGATTTCTATTCAGTCCAATTTGTTATGTGGTATATTAAGTGTAGCCGATTGTTTTTTTCCAGCCAACTGGTAGATAAATGTTAAGGTGGACGTTAAAATACGTGATGAAGATCATCGACACAGAACGATCTAGTTAAGAAATATTTGATATCTACGTCGCAATGCTAGAACGAATAGCGTCGAATAGTAATATCAAAAGAAAATGAACGGTGCAAGTGTGATTATTAAAAGCTCGCCGTTTTTCCTGACAGAATATCTCGCTACCAAGGATTTTACAGTACGTCCTTAAATAACCAACGTCTTCACCAGGCGGCCAATGAGAATTATTCTCTTGTGGTTCACGCGTTAACTGGACCGAGCAATATACTACGTGAAAAACGGCCTTTACTCAGTGGACATTTACTCAAATTTTGAAGATTCGAAATTTCTATTTCAGGTCAGTTATTTATAATATTGACCCGAGAAAGAAAGGTAATGTTCCCTTTACAGGATTGTTAAACTGCGACGTCGCATGCGTCATGTTGAATCCTGCAGTTCACACTATGGGTAACACTTCCATTCACGTAGTAGCTAAAAACAATCTAAATCAGCGTGAAATTATCCAAACATCAAAATCAACCTAACTCTTTCTCTCTTCCTTCGAGGTTAGTTCTTTTGTTTTGAATCTACGTGCTCAAAGTCTAGTAGAGGGTTGTAATTACTTTTGCACGGTATGTACGCGAATGATGGTAAGCTTGGCCGTGCGTATGAATTTGTAAGTCTCGTCCAAAGTTTAGGTGATTTAGCCATGTGCTTGTCTACAAGGCGTTTTTGAAGTGTTCTCCCTTCAAATGCTTGGCGCGTTATGACTTTCCTCTCCAACAGACAACAAAAAATGAATTTTACAATATTCGTTGAGGGTGATCTTATTGGCTTTGTGATGGGTTTTGCGGAATCGGATGGTGACGCGGGGCGTCCCGCATTTTGACCACTGATCGTATAGTTGTAATCAACATTCGACGATAGAAGGAACTGTCATTTTTGACGTATTCGATTTACTGAGTAGCTAAAACAAACAGGTTTGTTACTAGATCAAGAAGTCGGTCAAACGTTAATCAATTAGGCTATTCTTAAGGGTAACTCGACTTCACATAGTGGCTCTCAAAAATGATTTTGCCATACCAAAGCGTGTCACAGAATGTACGTAATCGATTCCACTTATATGTGAAATGGACCGTACACAATATTTAATTATTATTATTACTTAGATAATAAGATCTAAAAGCCGTAGTTAGTAATATATGACCTTTGGACCGTTCGAAATTTAGCAAACACTAGGATCGATATAGTGAGAAGGAAATAACCTGCGAAAAGTTATGATTATTTGAAATAGTTTTTCTTTAACTTTTCATTATTTTCACGATTTATATCCATTCAGTTTGGTTTTCATTGTCTATACTTCAATTATATCCTATTCTTCTACAATTCCTCGTGGCAGTTCGCTCTTGGCTTCGTCGAGGAAAGGGCATCCGCTCAAAGCGTAAACAATTTTGGGATGTCCGCACTTGTGGCAGAAAGCGGGAAGGAAGTTGTTCGCCGTTGACATCATGAAACGCGTATAATCTCACAGACGTAATAGAAGTCGTAGTAGAAGATACTACGTTACTCTGCATACGGCCTAGACCAGTCTGCCACTATCCCTGCATGATCACCGATGTCCCACGGTCGATGTGAACGCCCTTGATCAGACACAGCTGCTTTTTGTCATCAGATTTGATCATTTCGAGCAGTATAAGTGGGTCTGTTACAGTAAGGAAAGGAGCCTTTATTTCTGATCTATGGGGGTGTAGGTCGCAAATAACGTTTTCGTTTTCGCGAAAGCGGAATATAATTAGGCAATGATCTATGCGTATCACAGTATGTTGGCAAAAGGGAAAAGATAATTTTGGTCATGGGTGTAATATATGAAGAAATATTAAAGGAAACGGAATTACTGGGCGCTGAGGCCAATTGTCGTATTTGATTCTTTGATACGGTTGCGACGAACTGGGATATTCTATGGGTTAGCTAGGTCCGACGCTTTTATTCCCAGCTGCCTAGTTTCTAAAGAGGAGTATTTTTGATTGACAAGCGCCCGATAGCAACGTTTCGTATAATCGTGATAATTACACTGGTATTTTGTTTCACAATTATAATATGAATTTAGAAACCTGTTTTGTAACCCGTGTATTATATACATATTTCATTAGCACTTGCGAGCGCGGGTCAAGGGGCAGTTCGAGCTTCACACAGGCTTGAATAGCGGATTACATGACGTCTTTGTACGTAATGCATATTCAAAAAATTAGTGTACTTTACACAAGACCTTAATAATAATTAAACAAGATATTATAGTAAAACAATTTTATGTTCCTTCCTCTTGATATCGATTACAGATCCATATCGTTCAGGGTTCGTCGAAGAAGGAAGTGTGCACTATATCCGGGGTAAGTGTTTCCTTCTGAAAATTAGTACTTTGCAAGCTTTTTTTTATGTTATAATATACAGACGCTTCTTTCTATACAGAAGCGCAGTTAGTCTGATTTGTTTTGCAGCGACTGTTAAACAATAGCAATATTGTATTTAATGACAACTGAATTCGTTCTTGTAGCTCACCGCCGTTTCTACAATCGCCGATGTCAAGAAGAAGATCTCCTTACAGAGTGAGTTACTTGGCTACTTTTGTGTTTACCTAATAAGTGCCAAGAATAACTCTATCATCCTTTGACATCACTCACGTTACATAAGCTACAAGTTCTTTTGTTTTCCTTTTCAGAGAAGGGTCTGGCCCCTGAAAGACAAGCCCTTAAGATTGACCCTAGTAAGTGCACTGCTTCGTATACCTTTTTAGAAGTTTATACACCACTACTAAACGGAGCATAATTGTGTTTGGTTTTCGACAAATGCCTTTTACCTTTTCGTAAAAATTGTTCGATGTTACAATTGGCAAGCACTGCCTTTAGCTTAAATATGCACGGCAAAATGAGACAGTTATGTTAATAACTTTTTCTGTCCCATTCCACTACGTAATCCATAGATCACTTTTTCGTTGTTCGCGAATACCATGTTTGTTATTAGAATGATATTGATGATTATTATTATTTGCAAGAGTCGAAAGCACTCTCGGATGGTGTAACTTTGGAGACGGCAGGGATTAAGGCAGGGCAGCAGCTCTACCTTAAAGATCTCGGACCTCAGATAGGATGGACTACCGTATTCCTACTCGAATATGCAGGACCCTTAGTTCTTTACCTGCTTGCGTACACACGACCAGCTATACTCTACGGAGCCGAGGCGGCCAGTATACCGTACGCGGACGTCGTGCAGTAAGTTGATATATCAAGGGTTATATACCTATATGTCCAGACGAGGACACATTATATTTTCCCTTAACTTCCTTAATTTAACACACAAAAGAGTAGAATTCAATTCCTTTTGTCATTGTATGGAGCAATCTCGATCACTAGCATTAAGTTACACAATTAGTTTACAATTACAATTAGTTTGTGCTTTCTATGCGATTTGTAACTTTTCTATTCACAGCCTTGCGGCAGGCTGCTGGGCGTTCCATTACGTCAAACGTCTGCTAGAAACGATGTTTATTCATCGCTTCTCTCACGGTACGATGCCGATTTTCAACCTGTTTAAAAATTGCGGATACTATTGGGGCTTCGGGTTGTACATTGCCTACTATATAAACCACCCTCTGTATACTCCACCGGCGTGCAAGCGTCAGATATACGCTGCTTTCGTTCTGTTCGCGGTAAGTATATAATATCTCGTAGCCATGAAATTTTTCTAATAATTTCGAAAAAAAAATCAAGTCAGACGCGTCGTAAACATGCTTGAGCTGACAAGCAAAATCAAGTCTGTTTTTGCTTTGTTTCAAAAGAAGTTTGTTGTCAAAGAATCGAATTGTTGATGTAAATTTATCACTTGTTTCACGGGCTACGAGGCCGTCGATTGCACAATAACTCGTAGTAAAGTAACTGTTCAGTGACTCCAATCGAGTAAATAAAAACTTAAGTTTGCTATATGTATCTTTTCCCCTTTTCACTTTAATTTTTCAGATAGCAGAGATTGGAAACTTTAGCATTCATTTGGCTTTACGAAATCTGCGACCTGCTGGTTCGAAAGAGCGTCGTATTCCGTTCCCGACTGCCAACCCATTCACCCAGCTATTCTCATTTGTGTCCTGCCCTAATTACACATACGAGGTCCTATCTTGGGTAGCGTTCACAGCTATGACGAACACCCTGCCGGTTGGTCTATTCGCAAGTGCCGGTTTTTACCAGATGACTGTTTGGGCACTCGGTAAACATCGCAACTACAAGAAGGAGTTTAAGGATTACCCGAAAAACCGCACGGCAATCGTTCCATTCATCATATAAATGTCACCTTGATGACGATGAGGGCACAAAAGGAAAAGCTACTTCTTTTTGGCCGAACAGTTATACGGTGATGGATGAGCGTACATGCGATGCTCCTAGCGAGACGGAACTCCCCAAATCGATTATTTTGTGCGAGCATCAACCGGTGCACAAGTGTGCACCGTGTGGAATAAATAGCGCTTGCTTAATCATTTTAACGAGCTGAGCCTTTGCATAGGCTTACCCACATGGACCTGTGCAGTAACATTGAATTTAGAAAATTATCTAGGTACGTGTACACACAGAGACGCAATCAACCTTTTAAACCAACTGATGAGGATACTGAGTCCTAGGAACGACGTGCAAACAGCGTTATAAATGAACATGAGTTGGCCAAGGAAATGAGAGATATTTTTGGACAAACAAAGAGGAAAGAGATGTATGCAATACTAGCAATTCGCAAAAATAGAGTTAGGAACTTTATTTTCCTAATCATTGTAATATTTGGAAGTAGTTCACTTAAAAATACACTCACGCTTTTCCATCGCAATTCCTTCATCGAACTGTCGTACTTACCCCTGATGTAACTCTCTGTTCTGGAGATTTTTCTATTTTAGTAGTCTATTTGCCAAATTAAAACAGTTCAAATAACAGAGCAGTGAAGTCGTACACAAAAATTGTAAAATACACACACTTTGCATAAGGTTTAATGGAATACCGGCACATAACGTACGCTACGCAAAATAGACATCAAAATGTCTCTGATAGATAACTCTGATAGTTGCTAGCGAGTACTTCTGTATATATACATCCGGTTTTCTGGAACGCTTTTCCTCGATGCCTTGTGTTCCCGCTATTGTGACCACGCCATCATGACGACCACGACTCTTGCGGCATTTTTACTGACCGCTACTCTTGCATACATCTCTCTTTCCCTTTGTTTCTCTAGAAATTTCCTTGGTCAACTCATATTCATTGACTGCACTCCATGTGAGTAGGCCTATGCAAAGTTTCAGCCCGGTTCAATGACTAAGCAACCTCTATTTATTCCACACTGTGCGTACTGGTGCCCTGATTGATGCTGCGCACAAAACAATCCGTTTGGGGTTCCGTCTCGCTAGGAGCATCGCATGTACGCTCATCCATCATCGTATAATAATTGCTCGGCCAAGGAATATATGGTTAAACGGTACTTGGAAGTGCAAATTTTATTATAGAGATGATCAGCTACTCTGATAGCAATCTCCTTTTAGAAGTATTATATATATTGATTTTTCCATAGAAGTTGATTTTCTACGCGCGTCAGTGGAGAACTTCTATGAACAAGATCATAGTGTGTAAACGCTCACATTGTGCTATGGTTTGAGAAATGAATCTGCGGATAGAATTTGTCGGTGTTTCGGATTATTCAAGACAGTCGATGTGACGACATTAATCTGCTCCCTAATTTTTCGAAAGCTAGCCGACTGTACATTCCGCCTGATAACAATCGGAGTAATGAACAGACATTTTTTTCGGAAAGTGAAGTTTTGCTTGTTTTTATTGCACAGTATAAATAAAGCGATTTAACTTCGCTCGTTCTTTTTAGGTGGTTCAGTTTGTCGCCGTCCTCGTGGTAATAATATAATATTTATATCTGTTTTCGTATTATCTGTGTCTTTTCACTCGCTCTCTTTTAATAAAACAGCCATTTTTCGATTTATTTGACCGGTTGCATTTTCCTCACTTCACTGGTTTTGTTAGCGCGGCGTTTTTCTACTGTTTTTGCTTGTTTTACCTGCTTAAATCCCTATTTAATTAATAATATAGTTATCTGGTGCGGTGCCTTGCGGATAGCAGTACTACTATTAGTCTTAATTATTATTATGTCAAGTTTATTTATTATGAATAAGCATGACTTTCGAACATCATTTACGGCTGTTGTATTTCTGTCCTCGGCTGTTTCATTGTCACTGTATTTTCGCGCATGTCAGCTGGATGAGTATAGACTACAGACGACCTAATCAAGCTCTGGACAAGGTCTGGTCCATCATGTCAGTTACTGCTTTCTGTTTGCACACATAGCACTCAATTGTAGGCTCCAGGGCAGCCATTTGTAGGCTCCGGGGCAGCATTTCGTCAAGAGATGTTTCGCCATATAATAATATGCCAGCCGAGTCTACATAAACGACTAAATATTGATATTATAGCTAAGAACCAGTCGCACCCTATGGCAAAAACACTTGCTGATCAACAATCTTGAATAGAGTACAAGCCCGTGTGACCAAAACCTAACAGATCGATTCGTCTTTCCCATTCAATGACATGTCGTATGATTAAAATCGATTTTGTCTCGTCGAGACGGGCAACATCCATGCTGACACTGCTCGCTTCGTGATACTCAGTCGAAATTTTCTGCTAAAATAATAATCAGCTGTTTCTTCAACTACTCGGTACACATTGCAAAATTGAATCTCCAGTGTTTCTTTTTTCTTTTGTTGCTCTTCTTTCGTTGTTGTAATTATAACAGACGTTGTACGATTGATCGTCGTCAATTTTCAGTGTTTAGTGGTAGCTTTCGTTTCGGACGATCTGTGTGTATTTCCGTAAGATGATAAACATGTGCTAGGCCTGTCTCTGAAAAGTGTGAATTCTGATTGCTATCGTTTATGTCTTTTTAAACCGTCGCATTTTAACATATCTTACATCTACTGCATCACAAAATCACCTCATTTATTATAAGCTTTTTCAATGCAATCATTGTCATCTTTTTCGTTAATGACCATGTTTCCTTGCTAAAAGCTTTTGGCTTTATTAGTCAACGTTTGGCTGCGACGCCAAAGTCGACTTTCATTCTGCCTTATAGTTCTTATGCATGGGTGTGTCCTACCGTCACTCTTTGCAACAAAAAACACCTTTCATTCAACCTTGAATTCGTAAACCCCTGTAGGTTATCATCAATCCTCGCTAAGTTTTTGCATATCTCTCAACTTTCCCTTAGTCAAGAACCAACTAGGCTTGAACGTTACTTTGTAGAAAGAGGAAAGTTTGTAGAAAGAGGAAAGCCAGTATCTAGCACTATTTATTGTACGTGGTGCGTCAAGGTCTGTATAATCGCTTTTAAAATTCTCCTTCCCATCGTCGTTTTATAGGTTATGCATGCGTACATGGGTTTTGCTTATTTCTGTTGACAGTGTATATATATATATACACTTCTCTCCGCCTGTTACCTGTACCATTTTCATTTTACCATATATACAAGGGCTACTATTTATTATACTTGCACTGACACAATAATAATGGTACTGCTGTTTTCGTGACTTCAGCTTGCAGTTCGTGCCATATAGATCCTGCGCAGGCTAGTTTGTTTCGTTGCACGGTTGAGTACCTTGCATATTCTGCGTACTTGCGTGTGTTTCATAAGGCCACGCAAACCGCTATTATAGCTTATGTACGTGTGCTTCCTGCGGACAATTCAGCTTTTAAAATTGCCTGCTAGGTTTTTTGTTTCCTGGAAGGACTATGGCGCGGATCGCACATACATCTGCCTGCGAACACTCTTCTTGTCCATATGTTCATTCGCATCGCTGCTTTACCAGGTCTTTTGCAGAATCGAGTACGACGCATACGTTCAGACGCACGTCAGACCTGCTTCGTCATACGGAATTGACGCTCGGTTCATTCTGTTTAACATTGAGTCATTAGGTCAGCCATGGCTCTGTATGCCGTTTTGCGCAAACGACCTTACTGGATTTGACTGACTTTTCATCACCGTTAGTTGATTTTACCTTTCGTTCATTCTTTGAGCCGTTCTCGAATGTTCCTGATCGGCGGTAGCGCTCAGGCTACTTAGGCGATCAGGACGAGGTTGAGCTTAAATAATCAATTCTTCTTCTTCAGTCTTCTATCTGACAGCTGTTTCTCTCCTATCAGAACGGATGCATGTCTAACTGTGCAGCTCCCCGACGTAGGCTTACTTCTTGTAGTAAAATAACTAAAATTCATCGCTCCCACCATAACCAGCGTGAAGAACATCTTCACCACAATCAGACGATTATTTCCATCAGCAGGAATCAGGTTAGTTGCCCTAAAGGTTTGTGTCACCCTTTCCAACTTGACACAAAAGATTCTTCTCGATTTTGTATCATCGAATGTTTCCCCTACGAACTAGAACCTGTAAATCTAAAGACAGCTTGTCAAGCTCGAGCAATGCGATTGAGCGGCAATTTATCAGTCTCGATCAATAACTCTTCGTCGGTCATTTTACAAATGGAGAGTTCTTGGAGGGTTCCTGGACGCAAGGTTTGTTCCACCGTTAGCATAAGTATTCTAAACTGAATAAAGCTGCATCAGGCCTCTTTCGCGCATAGGGGTAGGCATTCATGTCTTCGCTCTTTTCTTGTACGGTGAAATGTTCTACAGCGATGAAGTGGCTGAGTCAGTGTTGGATTGTGAAGACGTTGGCTTCCGCTCGAAGTGCATGCTCTCCGTGCTCATCGACATCGCTGAGTCGGGAGAGGCGCACCGCTGAAAAAGTGTCAGTAGACAACAAGTATAATGTAGTAATTATATAGCTGTTGTATGTACGGAGTTACGCAAACAGCCACACCAACGTACATTTTATCATTAGTAGCCACTCTATCTATTATTTTATCTAGAAAATCGGGTAGTACTGTTATACTAGGTAGGTCGCTCACCGTCTTCATCCAGGGATGCTCCAGCATTTCTTGTGCTGAATAGCGGCGGTTAGCGTCCACCTGTAGCATCTTCTCAATGAGATCCCGTGCCGCCATGGACACATGGTCAAAGTAGGGTGGCAAGAACTCAAACTGTCCTGCAAGGATCTTATCGAATAGCTCCTCCTGACTGTTATTATCGGATGCGAAGGGCGGAAATCCGCAAAGCAGAATGTACAAGATTACGCCGCAGGCCCAAATATCAACCTTAAGGCCGTACCTAGAAAAACGTAATAACCGATAATACCACTGTTAAACACATCACTGACTGAAATGAGGTTGTTGTACAAATATTGTACACTACATCGTACGATATAAATCACAACATTGTGTACAATAACAATGGAGGAACTGAGGTATGTACCCAGTTTCGGCGAGTATTTCGGGTGCTACATAGGTAGGCGTCCCGCACACCGTAAACAGTGGATCGTCGTCGCGGACCTCAACTGCCAGACCAAAATCGGCCAACTTTAATCGCATTCGATCGAATTGCGTTTCTGGCACGACGAGGAGATTCTCCGGTTTGATGTCCCTGAAAAAGAAATGCCAATAGCTTTGGAAGTACAGCAAAAACGCATCAGCCTGTAACATTCTTAATAAGCGGCAGTCATATTTTTTAACGCGAGTCACTCTCGAAGTTATTAAAATTTTACCTGTGAACAACGCGCTGTTCATTATGGAGATATGCAAGTGCCTGACCAAGATCCGTCATCAGATCAGCAGCCTGCTCCTCACTAAACTGGTTCGCCTGGCTAATCGCGTCGAAAAGATCGCCACCGGGAACCAGCTCCATCACTAAGTACAGCTCTTCCGTCTCCTGTAATACGCCATTTATATAGTAATGCAATTCAACATTGCTTGTTGATCAGAGGAAAAACGCGCATAATTGCATAGATGCGTGCCATTTTTGCCATCGGACGGTGCAATCAAACATCTAGGAAAATGCTTGAGTAAGCTTTATATCGAAGAAATGTAGCGCTTTGGTAAAAATCGCAGGTCTGTATGAGGTAACTATCATTAAGCTTAACCGCAGGCTATTATCATACGTGTTAGCGACCGTACCAGCCTGGTGCACATAAATTCGAATTATTTCATAAGTGAGGTGTTCAATAGATATGTTTCAGTTTTCACACGCTTATGTAGAGATTCAATAGTTCGGCGCAATATGCGTATCACGTATTATGAGCTCACTGACCGGTGAGGGTATCTGCTTGATCAGCTGAACGATGTTCGGATGTCGCATTCTCTGCAGCACCTCGACTTCACTGCGTACTAGCATCTCTTTACCGCGGCATTTTGTCTGATCGATGACTTTCAGTGCGAACCACTTATCTGTTGACTTCTGGCGGCACTCATATACCGTGGCGAAATTGCCATCGCCAATCTTATTGTGAATGTCAAACTCTCGTGTCACAGAAGCTGGATATACCGGTGAGCTCTACGAACAACAGGAAGGCAGGTAAACGATTCCAATTACTAGTTATTGTCTCATCTTTCGTTACGTTACAGCATGACTAAATTTGAAACGAACATTCTAGTTAGCTAAAAAAACTCGTCTGTTAATGCTTGATCCACACCTGATCTCGACTCTTGCGCACGTCGGCCGACCCGTTACGTCGGTGTTCCTTTGTTTCTTTATAACCTTCCTTTTCGTCACCCTTTAACGGCCTGCCATAGAACCGTGTCTCTCGGCGCATCTGCGAGCACGCCAATTTGCGCGCCTCTGACAAAGTCAATAAAACGATCCTATGTTATTAATAAGTTGCTTAACCAGTCCAAATTTAAAGTTGTAGAAGCAAAACATCTACTCTACGGCGCTGTAGACAGAATCAAAACGCAAATTTAAATTACTCGATCTCGCGATCCGTCATGTATAGGCCACTAAAATCTACCAACGGATGGAGGAACAACGAGAGTGCACGAAATCATCGATTTGAAGATGAACAATAACAAATGAAACAGTTTCAAAATACACACAAAAAACAACAACATTATACCACGATTAATTCAAAAAAACTCGACAAACCTAGGACGACCAGAAAATTTTGGGCGACGTTTAAATTCAATAGCGCCAAGCTCGCGATTTGGTTGAATACTGCGATTTCGTCTATCTATAAACAGAAGTCAAACAACAGGTAGGGAGATAATTGAAAACACGAACCATCAGTGTCGAGGACGAAATCATCTACGGATGGAATTTCCTTTCCGAACGCGAGGAATACATCATCCGGGGAGGTGAAGAAGTCTCCCAGCGCGATCACAGGAGCTCCGCTTAGTGAAAACACTTTCCGAACCGCTCCAGAGTCAAGCTGGATCATACGGCTTAAATCATCCAATACCTTAAACGATTCGCCAGTAGTCACAAAAAACGCTTGATATTTTCAACGCCCACAGGAAGAGACGTCGAGGTACAATGAATATGTTTTGCCTCGCCAAACACACGCCACACCCTCGCAATATGATGTAATCAATAAAATCGACCCTTTACCTGTTCAATCGTATGAGCTGTCCTTTTATTGAGAAGCAAGCGGACAAACTTGCGAGGCTTGTTTCCGGCTCGCAAAACTCGAACGAGACGCGGCCGGATGACACTGCGATCCCTCGAGCAGCCATTACTCACTGGTGAGAAATCAGAACAATGTATATTAAAACTAGAGAAAGCGACAGCAGTGCTGAAAACTTTATTATTCATCGAATAGATATCGTGGTACCTCACGTGCTCCAGTGCTCGTGCGCTCAAATGGGTTTATCGAATCGAAAGTGGCGGTAATGCAATTCTATTGCCTTACATAAACACAAGCATTAGTTGTTCCTGTGGTACTCACCACTGAGACCATTTTGAGCCGGTTGATGTGACCCACTGTAACGAAGGCTGCGATCGAGGCTGGGATTGTTCCTCGCTTCCCCTACGCCAGCCAATTGAAAATGGCGTGGAGTTGACAAAGATGCATAGTCCATTGGAATAAAGGTGTCGGTCGATGAAACTACGTAACTATCGCCTGCAAACAGAAGACAATTGCGCAAGAGACAAACATGTCGGAGCGTGCTACCATCTGTCGCTACACAATCCTAAGCGACACGAAACGGGTTCGCGACTGGCCTCATGGTTACAATCTAATACGCCCACAACACGAGGCGATGTGTTTCTAGATGACGCGATAAATACTACACTAATAGCATCGGTTAGAAAGGGCAACAGGCGAGTATATTGTTCAGAGAGAGAAGGCTTAACAACGGTCCAACCTTCAACTTACGCAGTACAATACTACAACTTACAGTACGCAGACAGGATCCCTTATGCGATCTCCTAATATAGCATTTAACCCTATTCGCGTTTTAACTTTTAATTATCCGTAATGCCTAATTCACCGTAATTATAATGATCATAAGGTTCTAGTTCTACAAATAAATAATAACTTGTTTTATATAGATTGCATTAAGTGTATTAGCTAGGCCAGGCTCACGATTGTTCAACCGATCATTCATTAAAATTTTTCTTGCTCCATTTGTATTCGAAGCGCTCTTCGATCCTCATGTGCTTCTAGCTCCATACCGATAAACACTCGCACTTGGAGATGGTACGATCAAGAGCAATCTGTCCCGTTGCGCTAGCCGCGCTTGCTACATCTGGCCCTGTGTACGTGCCCGCCTACTCACTGGTAGCACCAGTAAAGTAGCTTTAGTGCTACTAAGGCCTTCCGGGTATCCCGGAAAGCTTCTGATCTGGCCTCTCTGATCTGTTCAAGCTTAGCGACAGTCTCTTTTGCTCTTCTTCTACTACTGAACCGTTGCTGGTCGTTGCTGCCTGTCCATCGAGACCTTCGGAGCCACAGGCATACGGTGGCCCAGCTTACGTTTGGCTTAAGCTCGACTTTTCTTTTAGTTATTCTCGTCGTTTGTCTAGGTAAGACCATGCCTTGCCAAGCGCCTCCTATCCTCATCTCTAATAATGTGCATCTGGCCCACGTTCAGTGCCCACTACTGGCCAAGTGCAGCTGGCGCATTCAGATGCTTCGGATACATCCCGACCGGCTCAGACTCCTATAGATGGTTTAGACGGAAAGTATTCAAAAACTAAGCTACGAATGGAATGCAATCTTCTTACCAACAGGAAATATCGACCGACCCGCTGATTGACGACACGTCGCGTCCTCAGTTGCGACGTATACCTGCCGCTGGCACAATTACTAGGGTTAAAATATTGTTATGTACGTATATGTATAGGAGACAGTGCCTCGGCAAGGCTGTTGCCCTGTATAAGGTCAAGCGACCTAAGATGTAACAACATGGTCCAAGTAATTGATATCAAGATAATATGTATTAGTTTTCGATTCGACTGTACCCTGTAGCTTCGAAAAGCAACACGATGATTTAATGCTTAGTGACAATACAAATGAAACGTCTCCGGTGTGTATAAAAGTAAATTTGTGTTTATTACAAATTTTACTAATAGCCGTAATAGTAATTAATGATTACAATGACGGTGACTAAAATGATACTGATTGTGATGAAAATGAATTGATAATAAAACGATCCTACTTGCCTTCCTCGAAATCATCGAGGCACTTGATAGTTTTTCCGTCGCTCAGTCGGAACACAAAGCGGACTCCAAAAGGTAGCGAAAGTGAATCAGTGAGTAACCGTGTCAAGTCGGCAAAAAGAGAATCCACACAACGAGTTTTTTCCGCCGACAGGGCATACATGACGGCCTGTAAGCAAGTGTCCTTGTTACATTTCCTTCGTTCTGTTTTCTTCTACCAAAAGCTATCGTACCGAAGCCTACACGAGAGGCACGCTTAGCGACAACCGATAATTTTGGAAACTTAGCTCTATCGCTGTTTTTTTGTAAGGGAAACGCAAAACACCGTAAGATGGTGTTAAGCGGTGATAGCGGCCTAGGTCTCATAACTCGTAAGACGCGTTGCTTGGACTTGTACTTAGTATTTTCCTTATTTACAACTGCCGCTGTTTTAAATACCATTATTCAAAAAAGTTTTTTCTCGTGTAATACGGAAATATCTGACGGTGAAGGTTTTTCCTTCTTATTAATTTTATCTTTTTTGAGCGAACGCTATTACGGCGTACAGAATCCGACTTCCGAATTGCATACTTATTTGATACTTCTACTTTAATAGTACAGATTAGATAGGCACCTTGAGAAATGCCAATTTCCGGTTAAACTACATCCGTGAAGCCTTTGCGACATCTTCTTAGTTGGGCCTAAGTAAGACTATTTGATATGACAGTCACGCGTTTCTGAGACGAACCAAAGTTCAAACACATCAAATTCAAAATTGATTGTCAAACCCTGTCAGTACATCAATTATGCGCTATTTTTGCCACTTTCTACTAAGACATGAGATAACAATACATTGAAAGTTCTCATGGCATGCTACGCCAGCCAAACGAAGTGTTCGATTCTCCTTCAGTCAACAATACCGCGAGTCACCTCGATCGGCTTTACCGATGTTGTTTTGCGTTAACTTGACACATTTTCATGTCGAAGTTTTTCATTCTACAAATAAGTGGACGCGGTGAAGTGCAGATCGAAACTAATCTACACCTTACTGCGTCTACTTTTCGTCGAATATTGACTCAAGTTGAAAAAATGTTTGGGTGAGGCTTATTACCTAGCTAGCCGTATAAGATGAATGGAAATGATCTGATGCTACTTGTTTTCGACAATCGACTCTCGCACGTACCCCCTTGAAACGGTCGCCGTTTCTATAGAATTTGAGCTTCTTAGCCTTCTTCTCCATCCAGACGTTCTGCAAACTCTGCCGCGAAGCTGAATGGGATATTGCGTATGATGAATTGGAGTGACCGATTGGCGGTAGCGAGTTAAGCGCCTGGTGGCTGCTATGTTGGGGAGTTCCTGGTGCTGGCGTACTTCCTAAGAGGAGCGAAGCGACTCCGCAGTTTGGCGAGGGCGTAGATGAGCTCATTGAACAAACCCCCACGAGCTGATCCTCTACAAGCGTGTCTGCACCTACACAGGGGTAATACATAACGCGGCATTAACGCAGGAGTATCAGTCAATTAACTGGGATGGCACTGTATAATATAAATAATAGATAGACTCAAATAACCAAAGGTAAACTAAACCATACGTATTCGTGCGCATACGAACGAGAAATTCGAGACTGCTTCAAGAGGCCCTTCCCTGTGCCACTGTGCTTTTTAGTAAAAAGAAATCTGCTGAATTCGTCTCTTTTTTCCTTCTACTACAGGAATTACTGCGCAGTGCTTCTGTAATCCCAGGGTTTATGACCATACCGGTCCTTCGGTTACCTGCTGAAGATCCAGCACGACCTCTTGGAAATGACAATACAGCCACTACTTACCAGGTTGCGATCCGGCCCTTTGGTGCCGAAGAGTCCAGAAGCCGTTGTTGCTTAAGGCAGACTTTGGTGGCGATGGGGCAAATGCCGAAGGAGGCGACGCTAGAGAAGGCGTCGGGGGCCCAACGGCAGCCTCTGCCCCGCCAACCGAACTCAGCGTCATTTTAGTATCGTCGGACGCCGAACAGCCGACGGACACAGTCTGAAAATGTCGGCCGTTGTTGACACCTGAAGTGGATGAAGAAATAACACAAATCATATCTAGGCTTGCTGACAAGTTGTGCTTAGAATCAAAAACACAAAATACAACTGAATAGGCTATTGATATTGCCCTACATGTGAGCGTTCTGCGATGGATTAGGCTCACTCATACCGATAGCATCCCGAGCATTTTCAGTGATCACTCTAACTTCGTTCTTATGTTTATAATTGTTTATGAATATGAATCACGCCAATTTCCGCAAACACTCTACGTCCGACTGCGCTGTGGACGGAGCAATTTGCCGAATTTATGAGCTCCATAAACAAATGCACATGCTATTCGTTAGGTCGTTGAATCGTCGTAGTTTCTCGAATGTTAAATGGCGGATTGCCATGGTCGCCCAGTCGTTTCTTCATTCGAATATTACGTAACGTGACGTTGTCTCGTTCTAAATACACCACGTGACAACCATTGCTTAAATATAGAAAAACGGTCACGGCAGCAACAAATAGTTCATCCTCGATAGAATGTTTGGGCCGTTAACTTTTCTCTGAACCCAAACACGGCATTCGTCCAACGTCCGATTCAGGGATCTGCTTGCTTACCGTAACATACAACGGTAGAACAGCTCAATTCGATGACTCACAATTCGGTGCCATAACCCACCCTTAGATTTGTTTCCATCAACTACCCCGAGCTCCTGTGACTTTCACAAAAAGTGTTTACTTTGGTGTGACTGATGCTCGCTGTGATGTCACTGTTAGCGGTGCTGAATTTTGTGCTAATGCTGATGGCCGTGTGGTGTCACTTGAGAATGTAGTTATTTTTTTTTTTTGCTTCATTTTTGTCCGTCGCATTTGCTTCAATGACCGCGACTTCCTTTCGAATATCTCAGTATATCTAGCTGAAGTTGTCCGTAAGTGCCAGCAGCGTCTCCTAGATTTTTCTGTGTGAAAAACCGTTGAATTCGAATGTAGATGGATTGTTTAGCAGCAGTGTTTGTCGGCCATCTTTCCTTCCTTCCCCCCAAACAAAGTGCCGACAGTAATAAAGAAAAGAAAAGAAAAAAAAAGAAAAGAGGAAAACCATATGCGTTCAAGCTGCTTTTCAGCGCATATTCATCGAATGGGCAGCTCGAAAGATAAAATCGTTATCACGCATATATGTGGACATAGCCGGTAAATGAATAAGCAGTCCTATTCATATGAAACGTTATGCCTATGTCAGGCCGTCTTTACTTTATTACTAAAGCATTTCTGTTATAAATAGTATTTGCAGTGCTATTGGCAGTCACCAAAATCAAGCCATAATTGTAACTGTTTGTGCCTTATGTAATAGTCTGTCATCGTCGTTCGCTAGTGTCAATTGGCTTTCTTATTGCTGGCAATAACACTACGCGGTTCTCACATCAGGCTACCCAGGACACATGGTTCCATTTCGGATACAAAACAGTCTCGGGAAACGACGACGCAGCTAGGAATAAAAAGAATACCAACAAACAGAGCCTACAAGGCGTCGGATACAGTCACTAGCAGTTAACGGAAGACTAGCTGAGAATTTCGCATCCTTTAGCAAAAAGGACAAGTCTTGCCAGCGTTGCTCCTCCTGACAGATTGTTAGGTCAAAATCGACTCGATAGTCCATCGTCAGATATAGACGCAGTAGTGCCAAGTCGATTGACTTGCTGTGCCCTAGCTTCGTACCGCCAGGTCGCGGTAGATACTTTCTATTGCGGAAGCTAAGCCTTGTCTTTTTTTGGTCGTAAAGGCTCATCGAACGTCGTGCGATAATTTTCGGCCGCCGCATTCATCACGACCTGCTATTTTCGTACCGTGATTAAAACGGAAGCAAAATTGGGTCTGGTGCTGCTGCTGCTGTTGCCAGTGTTATAGGTGCAAATAGGGCAATGTCCTTGAGGGCTTCCCTTCTATTGCTCATAGCTAGAGGTTGCTTTTATCATCCGGTTGCTCGGAAACCCCCAGGCTGTGCCCCGTCCTTAGACTACGGGACCTCTAGCGGCTACTTATTCCCCGTGCGATCTTAAATGTTCCTTCGCTAGCAGCGGTAGCGACAGCACTATTTGACACGGCAATAATGAGAAGCCTTCAAAGCAAAGAAAAAAGCCCTTCGCAGCAGCCCCGGTCTTTTCGTCTGTCCCGTGCTGCTTCTGGCTGTGGTAGCAGAAAAGGCAACAACAGCGGCCGCTGCAGCAGTTCGAATTGGCCCCTTTCACTAGGACCTCCCGACTGTGTGGCTTCCCGCGAATACGCTTCAAGCGTGTTTTTTTTCTCCAAGCCGCCATTACCAACAACAACCGCTGGGAAGCTCGTGCGGGTGTTTGTTGCCGGGCCAACAACGAATCACAGAATAATGCATGATGGCTACAACGTAAAGCCAAGACGCGTTCAATCGAGATCAGTGAAGCAAAAACGGAAGAACTGTGCAAATTCTACTATACCAAGGGGATAAAATTAACTTATGGTGGAAGTTTTGAACCACAAGTAGAAAGAAAAAACTTTGAAAAAATGAGAGGCAGGTTTGAGGCGAACGCATTAGCGAAGTTCGCCGTTGTCCGCTGATTTCTTAAAAAAAAAAAAAAAAAAAAAAACTCATCAAAAACATCTTGCTACAGTTCACAGTAATATTAACACTACACTGACGATACTAACTAATTCTCACCACTAGCAAAGTTACTGCTATAAGCGTTTTAATGATTATATATACTGATCGTGTAATAGATTAAGGTATTGCTTGTTGAATAAGACAAAATCCTCTTACTCGCCCTATTACTGTGACCTGAATTAAGGTAACCGTTAGTTAACGAAACGTGTTTTTTTTCTGTAAGCAGTGACTTCCGTTATGCCATTTAATATAACTCTATTCGCTATTATATTAGCAGGATAAACACTCAAAATGCGAGCTCACAGAAACACACTCCAAGCCGATAGTTCGCTTATGAACAGCCTCTTGATAACACTACATAGACATACAAACCCATTTAGATTTCTACTAGCAGCGGCAATCATAGACACATTGAATGACAATTCATGATGTCATATAAGGAGTGCCTGTAAACGCTTTTTCTCAACCGAATCTTTCAACGTATCTCCGTTGAAATCGAGACTTCTCCAAAATGAACAGTAGAGAAAGCGGCTTTTTCGGTCATCCGATCTCATTACAACATTCAATGGACGGCAATAGAACTTGATGATTCTAGTAAAGAGTAACGTAATCTCTCAGTTGCTATAGTTTTTGAGAACTTTTTTCTTTTCATTAGTATTTGCATGCGTACACTTATTAAAAAATTTGACCCGTTCTTGTCAAAGTTCAGCTTGCTCTGTAGGGAAAGTCTCTGCTACTTGTTTTTAGCGGTAATATGTATATAAATCTGCAAAAAATCCGTCAGTTTACAACAGCTGTATGATCTTAAGCTAGCTAACCGAGACGAACCTAGTAGTCTAGATTTAAAGTGCTATTATAGTGTTGGCAAATACTAGATTTTTATTAAAAGATTTCTGAAACTTCGAATGATTTACAGACAACACGATCAATCTACTGAGGTTCAATCATGCACTAAAATGATTACGGAAAGTTCGTTCTAGGTCGTCCGAATCGACTTCGATGAGCAAGAGGATAGCAGCAATAGGGTTGACGTGATGAAAGGGTTATTCGCCTCCAAACGATCTTTGTGTGACCTTGATGTGCGAAGATTTCATTCCAGCAAACCCCATCAAAATTAGCGCAGAGACGATCTTCAAACCAAGTTACCCTGCTGATGGCAAGAACGATGGACCAAATGAATCTTGTACTACTATTTGTTTCTTATAACGTCTGCTGTCTCCCTGTTTGGTCTAAAATATGCACTTCTCTCGTGCAAGAGGCTGTTCTTCTTTCCTTCTGGTCATATTTGAACGCACGTCAAGGAAATCTATCTGTTAATGTCGTCGGCGGCGGCTTACCGTATAGGAATGGGGTTCAACATGCTACTAGGAGGCGAGGATGGGTAAGGACATTAGATCCATAAGCGTACAGCCAATTCCGGGTTTGCCATTTACATCACAATCAGCATAGTACTTCTGGCAATACGAATAATATTAGTAATAGGTATATTGTGAACATTGCGTAAAGTAACGCTGAAACTGGCAGTAGAACTTCGCAATAAGCAGCGCGAATAGATGACAATAAGCCGCCTGCAAGCGCTTAAAAAGCAAACCGCAAAAATTTCAAGTAGTTTCAGAGAATAAGATGGTTGCTCCTAGGCGAATATGTCCTTTTTCTCGGGCAAAATCTGAGGATTCTCCCTGTATGGAACGATCGTACATACTGGTAAGACTCACCTATTCTTACGATAGACAAAGTACTGAGCAAAGTAAATATACCGCACGCACGAACCCCTGCTCCATCTGTGTAGTAGATGGTAGGCAAGAATCTCTAAAGCATTACTCCATTGACGAATACTGGGATTTACTTCGTCTAATCAGAACAAGTATTCGGAGAGGTGTCATACCTTTTTGGTAGTTTTTGTCTCATTTTTGTTAGGCTCTGTTCCGCCTCTGATGATAACAATAATTTACCCCAGCCTTCATTGTCGCTCACAACCTCTTCTTTATTTTGAGTGTGACCGCTCAGCTACAAGTCTTTGTTTTGCCGATACATAGAAATAACAGGATCGTAATGCTCGATTCCTATCCACACAGGACGACTCCTACCACAGCAGAGTACCATTCAGCGATGACAGGTTCCGCTATGATTACTGATATCAACCCTTTCTCCCTTTTTATATGGACCTGACCTGTTGATAGTCTCGATATGGCCTGCCGCTGACGCCGATTACCCTGCATACACACATACTCGCAGTTACAATTCGTAGTATCGCAAAGACATCCGGGGTGTCTGCGAAACCGAAGTTGTCAGGGAACTGAGAAGGAAAATGAAAGCATAGAGGCACAGCAAGTATTTGGATCTTTCTAGGAAACTGAAACCCCAGGAATCCCAGGAAAATCCTACGACTAACCCGTTGTTATGT